GGAAGAATCTAAATGTGTATGGAATAGTGAAGGATGGTCTGAAGTGAATGAAGAAGAAACATTAAAGTCAGTTAGTTCAGTTTTCTAGGAAATTTTATAAAAATGATTTTATAAAAATCGAAAGATACGCTCACCCCGAGAGACCTGCGAACTGTCCTCGCTGTCGGTCCCACGCTGCTTCCGCTGCTGCTACTTCTGCTGGCTGGTATTCTAGTAACCGTTGCTCGTGGATTCGTTCGTCGTTTCTCGTTGGCTTTCGGCGGTAACGGACTGTGCGACGCAGAGCTCTTTCGCAGATCGTTGGTTAACGCGCAAATCGCCGACGTGTAAGTACGAAGAGGTGCGTGATTCGGGACTAAATTTCTCACGGTGTTCACCGACGTGGCGCTGTTTAAAGAACTCCGCGAGCTACGAAGGCTGCTTCTCGATCCCGAGCGTTCCACCTCGTTTCTCGACTGATGGCTGTTCGATTGGTACGTTAGATTTGAGTTTCGTTGCATCGACTCCGCCGCCTTTCTCGCAGCAACGTCTCGCTTCAAAGCGTTCGTTCGTTTCGGAAGGAAGCTGGATTTCTCGGTGGCGTGTTTCATCGAGCTCGCTCGTTTCTCGAATCCCTTCGAGACCGATGGTGACGGCGACGACATCGTTTTCGTCGTCGTGCTTCGTAACGACTTTCTGGCATCGTGGCCAGTTGCTTGGACGTGACCGTGAACCGGAAGATGATTATCGGTTTCGGAGTAACGTAGCTCGGCTGGTGAGCAACGCGTCGAGTCGTGAGTGTCCGTCTCGTAATTTCCAGAGGATGTCTCTTGGCTGAGGGTCTCCGAGACCAAGCTTTGCGTCTCCTCGAAACCTTCGTCGTTCATCTCTTGGTCTCGAGTCTTTCCGGAAGATGGGTGCAGTAAAGGACAAGAGCTGGAGGTAGTGTTGGCGACATTTATATCAGGCAGCGCGAACTTGGAATGGAAGAGCGAGCCGTCCGTGTTAAATCGCACCGGTTGTATCTTGCTTTGGTTTTGCAGTGTCGAGTCAGGTCGTTTATCCTGATAAATCTCGGCGTTAGATTTGTTTTCTTGGCAACGACTCGAATCGCTGCTGGCTAGATCGATTTCGTCGTTCATAGATTCGTCCTTTCCGCAAGATCGCGATTGATTTCGTGACCGAGACACCGAGACGTTTTGACAATCGTTCACTTGACTCGGTGGATTGTTAGTCAATCTGATCGCTTCTTTTACTTGACTAGGATCGATCATGCTTCTCTGTCGTTCGCGACTAGTTACTGCTCTTTCCGCGAGGACGGTTAACGAGGTGTCCCGAGGTCGAGACTCGTGCATCACGGGGCTAAGAACTGTATTGGTCACGGCAACCACGGCCGATGGTTGACTTATCGGTAATCTCGAGTTTCGGTGCGCCAACGGTCGCGACAATCGTTGAAGATCCTCGCCAGAACGAGTGATCTCTGCCAACGCTGTGTTGATATCGAACGAACCCGACGATTCTGCCTGCCGCTTCGATTTATCTTGCCAATCAGAGGATGCAGAATTTTCGTTGCGTTCCTCTTCCGACAGTGGCAATGTGTGTGGACGTTCAGCCACAGGAGCTTTCACTTCCAGCTCGACATCGATCGTTGATTCCTGTTTCGGATCTTTCTCCGCCGTGTCTTGATTCTTTTTGTACCTTCGTGTTCTCCTTGCCGCCGAATAACGATCAAAATTACCTGAAACGATTAATAATGTTTGCAACGGTAACAAAATTATCGTTCTGTGCTACTTACCTATTCCGAAGTCAGCGTTGTTGTTCACGTTTTTCGGCATCGGACTTTTAAAATCCCTGTTTTGGAAGGAGCTGCTGCACCGCTCCCTTTTACACGGCTCTTTCTCAACCGGCTTCACCTCCTTCGGCGGACTGAATAGCTTTCTGGTTGCCGGAGGTGTTTCTATGTTATCGGAATCGATCTCTATCTTGTCGATCTTCTCTTCGTCAACGCCTCTCTTCAGTTTCGAAAATCTCCGTGGTCCAGTAGGTTGAGAATCGCCGTAAGGTTGCCGTAAATAAATCGTTAATTCATCCTGCGAGCCTGGACTTACGGTGTCGGTGACCTTGTTCTTTTTCCTCTCTTCCTCTTTGATCGACTGTGATGTTAAAAAAAAAAAAAAAACAAATTTAAAATCATTTCTTTTCGTTTGCAAAAGAGAAGTAATTGATGTTCAATTTTTTTTTTTTTTTTTAAGTATATCAACCTGTAAGGTGCTAGAGGTTAACACATTCTCTGTGCTGAGTCTGGATCTTAACCTACGGGAATAACGGGGGTCAGTCTCTTCCATGCTATTTGGTACGTTTAGGCTCGACTTTCGCCAAGGAGATTTGTCCTTTTGCGATGGATGCGTCTCCGCTTCTAAAACAGATTCAAAGTTAAATTGGAAATTGAATTCGATTTGATTACACATTTTTTTTTATAAATGATAAAAGAATTTAGGTAGAAGTGATAAATATGGTGATAACATGACAGAATGTATAACCTTCGATAGCTTCCATCGTGCGCATTACATCTGTCTTTTCCACGGACGGACGCCAGTCGTAAACTTCCGAGTATGTGTCTTGAATGGAACCACCTTCGATTTGGGTATTCATCTTGCTTTCGTTTTCTGCGTGCAAGTACAATTTAAGATCGAATGATCGTTAGAAGTGAACGTGTGTACACGTATAAATATCGTATAAATATTTACCAGAGTCCTCGTAGGATCGTCGATTCGCATTGTGCAGCTGTTTTGCTTTTCTCTGAAGCTCCTCACCCGCACGTTCTTCCTTTTCGTTCTCCGACAACCAGGCCTCGATTTTTTGCCGCCATGCTTTCCTGTTGCACGCGTGTATGTAAGATATTTACCGAGCACATGCATCATGCTTGATTCGTTAGGACGAGAACATAGCGAGCAATGTTTCAATGTTCATCCTATTGACTGAGCAGCTAGTGAATAGTGAGCTCGACTAGATGAGTTAGTTACTCTCTGCATTTGTTTCAATGAATTTGTCTCCTCAGTCAGTTTGTATCGCGATGGAAACGCAGCCACTATGTTCTTACGCTTAGAGTTACCGCCTTACCCCGCAGGTTTCGTTTCTTCCTCGTGCAAGAAGGGTTTGCTCTCGATCAAAGGCGACGGAGAACTTGGCCTTTCGCGATCGATCGAGAAATCGGCGTTCAGTAGATCGCTTCTGCGAGAATGACCGCGTGCTCTTCTCGCCCACGAACGATCTGAGGAAGGAGGGAAATTAGACGAACAGGCGAAAAATCTCAAAGGAATTTCGCGTGTTTGGCAAAAGGATTTCGCCATACCTAGACTGCCCCATGATTTTCTCTCACGAGTGCCGTCTTGTCCCGACGTTCTCAAAAAATCCATTAGATTACCGTCGTCGTCCTCGCTTGGTATCCGACTTCTTCGACGACGAAGGGTACCATTCGGTGTCACATCTGCGGATGTGAGAGAAACAGAATTCGTTACAGGGGAAAAGGATATGTCGCGCGTGATCAAAGAATGAAACTCAGATACCTGGTGAGTACGTTTCTTCTTTGGTAGATTGCTGGTCGGCAATTCCACCGGAACAAGAACCTAAACGTCGTCGAATACTGGGCGATCCGGTTATCGAGACATCTTCGTCGGAAGTAACACCACCATTTTGCAGTCTTTTGATCTGAATCAAAAGAATAGTCGGGAAAGAAATTGAATATCTCGTTGTTCCGATATTTATGTATACCTTAGCGTCGGCGCGACCATAATTTCTTTGAGGTAAACCGCTGGCAAGATCGAAAGGATCGTAACCAATTAAATTGTATTCGGATTCGGAGATTGGCGCCTCGTTTTGTTGGTTGTTACTGGTCACTGTAACATTCGTGTAAAATGATTCGTAAAAATGAATTAGCAAAAGGAAAACAGTGAATTCTTATGCATTTACGAATAATTTTAAAGTGCAAAATTGTCTAGAATAACGTGAAAAAAATCCACAAGCCCCGTGTGGGGCTTTCTATAACAATTCCATTTTTTTTTTTATTTATATTCTTAAAAGCATGAATTTGCATAAAAACCCGTAGTTTTCAAAGGTCACACATATAATCGACATCACGTACGTAATCGTTTTTTAGCCAAAAGTTGTTCTTCTCGTTGCTTGCGCCTCGCCAATACCTGTTCCTCTTGAATTCTACGTCTCTCATTCTCCGCGACTGCTTGATTGAATTTCTGACAAAATTGATGGAATACCTTGAAGCATTCCTCGATCTTGAAAGTGTTGCTGTCCTCGCAGAAAAATTCGGCGAGCGATCGCCTTAACGTTTCGAGTTCTTCCATGTCTCGTTTTAACTGACTCATTTCCTGTTCCGCTATCTACAACACGAATGTTGGATTAATAAAAATTCTCTCGACGCTTTCGATGATTTTCTAACGTTTTTCTCCTTTTCCCTTTTCTTTTTTTTTTGTTTGCTTTACCAACCAAATAATCATTAAAGACGCGATACCTGCAAAAATTGTGCCATCTGTTCCTGTATGTCGGTTTCCGTCGAAGGAAAATTAATCTGTGCCTTGATTTTTCTGATCTTTGTGTCGAGTGCGTTAAATTCGTTGTTTAATTGCTCCGTTGTGGTCCTGCGTACCACGAACACACACACACAGGGCAAAGGATAAAAGAGAGAACGTTTTAGCTGTTTAAATCGAGTAGATCAATTTTCGTTTGGCAACTTACTTTGTCGCAGCGTCCAGAGCGGTCATACTCTTCGTGAAATCCAGCAAATCCTTTCTCTTTCTTTCGGCTTGCTACGGGGGTGCACGAAACGTTCGAACATAAACTAGAAATGACAACGACGCGGAAAACGGTAGGAACACGAAGAGTATACGTTACCAGAGCTACGTAATGTATGAGATTCATTCCTGGCTTATTCGCTCGAATTTCGGTTAATTTTTGCAAAGAGGATAACTTTACCCCGGCTGCGTTTCCAGCGTAACCGCCCTGTATACATACATGACAATGCGTGTCAATTGCGTGTCTGCACTTTTATGCGCGTCAATTTTCAAACGAACACTGTCTATCTGTTCTTTGCTTCATTCGTACCGAGTTGAGGAAATTTCCAGCGACCAGAACCATGTACAACACCTCCTGAAGTGGTTTGTTCGTCATCAAGTCCTCGCCAGCTAGGATCATCGAATTGATACTTGGCTCTAAGTAGCTCATATTAGCAGCGAATTCTTCCTTTAACAGCATGCATTCTATGCGTAGTTTGTAACTGACGAGAAAAGGCAGAATCGTTTGTAAATTTTTCATCTAAATCTAAAACAGGGAGAGCTGCGCGTGAATTGAGAATTCGTTCCCCTTCCTTTCCCTTACTTTGGCACTTGAACTAACTGCAGGAAGAATTTCTCGGCATTTCCGAGCTTCGACTTGTCTCCGTCGAAGCTCTTGAGCATTTCCAGTTCGTCCACCTCCGGTAGAATCTTTAGAAGACCGCGTAACTTCTCTGCTCCGATCTCGTCGTGACTGCCGTCCTTTATAAGCCGAATAATATCTTCGTTCGAACTGTGGAAATCATTGAAACGTTTTTCTCAATATTTCTCTCCTACCTTTGGTTCGAGATTGCAACTCAACAACGGGTTGCTCACCTTCGAAACTGCTTTAAGAATATATTCACGTTCAAACTCCTCTTGCCATCGAGAAGCGCGATCTGAGAGAGATAAGTGCAGATGAAATGTACGAGAGAATTCATCCGAGAGAATTCGAGTTTACTTCGCGTTAACATAAACAGATGTGAATACGTAGTAAGTACTACCTCGGTTGGTTCCCTACGTCGTCTCTCAGCATCCGAATTTCCTCCATAGGATGAACACGAAGTAGCTGGCAATACCGGAGGCACCTGCTGACAAAACAGCCCCTCCATTTCTGCCCAATCTATATCCGTCATCGGTGAGTTTTGATGCTCATCGGCAACTAGGGACCAAATGTTGCGTTTTCCAATCACCTGGTAGCCGTGTCATGAAACAAACATAAATATAATCATCAAATAAAAAAAGTATATCACTTGACTTGAAAAATTGGAAAGTCCTCAATTAACTAGCCTCTTGCGTTTGGAATGAATTTTAGCCACGCACGTCGAGAACCTCTTGTCCCAAAATTGCAATTCATTTTCTCAGTTTTAAGTATATATATATATATTTAAATAGAACCCAGGCGAAACAAATAATAAATGTATAATAATTTCTATCCAGTGACGACTTCAGAAAGAAAGCGACGAATTGTCGTATACGGTTTGATCACTCGTTATGGTCCGTGAACCGATTGCCAGCAAGCAAGAGGCTAGAGAAGCGTTTCTTTCCCAACGACTAACTCGGCTAACTCATAGAGAAGAGATTACCTTGTGATTGGGTATCTTGTTCCAATTGATCGTTTTCATTTTTGCCTTGGGGGTGGGTATTTCCTGTTGCGGCAGCAGCCTCGCGTGATTATTCGCCGGCTCAGGGGTGGGTACTCGTGCGACCGGCAACGCGTGCAACGGCGGTGGCACTGGCGGTGGGTCCATCGAGGCATCGGTGTACGTAACGTTGCCGGTGAAAAGTGGCGGAGGCGGGGGTGGTGGTAGAACACGGCTTTGATTCGATGAACCTGCACCTGATGGATCGACAGGAACAGGAGGCGGAGGGGGTGGTGGTAAAGGTGGTAGTGGCGCTGTCGGATTGTTCACCGGTAACGACGCCTTTCGTGAAGTTCCGCACGTTTGTTCGGTGCCTCGACAGTGGCAACAAAGATTCGTCTGGAAAACAAGTTTCCTTTTTTTTTTTATTTTTCAAAATCCAATAATGCATAGAACGCACGCGATGCGTAAATATAAATAAATTGTCTAAAATATACTGCTCGCTGTGATATTTAATTCCACGAAATTATGAATTTGCATAAAAGCCTGCGGCCTAACGTTTCTAGATCGGGTGAAATTCTAGAAGTGAATGGTTACCTGAAGACTAGGTGAACGTAACAATTTGGTAGCGTCCTCCCGATTCTCCAACAGCGTTGCTCTGTGGACCAACGTTTCTGCGGTGTCCCATGCTAGATCGCTAGCAGCATCTTTCGGATCCAGCCGTAACAGATGCTGGAGAATACTCAGAAACGGTATTTCTTGCGGAGTGTCTGCGATCTGAAGTAAACACCGAAGTAAGAATGTTGGACGCCAAAAGCCTGCTGAAAAGAAAAAGAAAAAAAATTCTGCTAGCAGTATCAAGTATTCTTACTTGTCCAAGAATCGCGTAGAAGACGTCCACGTGGGAAGAAAGATCAATTCCAGGCGGCCCGTGATTCGACAGTTCCTCGTCGGTCTCTCGCTGATCGTCGAAAACATCCAGTTGCACTCTCAGATCCGGCGCGTGGCTTTTCCTGTAAGAATAATCGTGTCACCTTCCTGATCCGGGTACATTTTAAGCCCTTACGTAGAGCTGTTCGCTCTATTTTCGTCTCGCTCGACACACATGCGTTTCCTCTAGAATCTCTATTCCTCTATTCTCTACTAATTTCCCCATCTTCTTGATCTCCTTAATTTCGCCGTTCGATCCTATCGCTCGTACTTTCTTTCGTTCGGCTGATTTTTCTTCCGAAACAAAGTGGAGTGGATGCAATGTATTCTATTACAACCTAGTGCCAAGTCGATCCCTTTTATTTGACAGATATTATTATTACACGGTAGAATCATCGTGCATATTAACATGTATGATCAACGAATCCAATTAAATTAAAATTTAAAATATCGCACTAGTGATAAATTGAACGAAACGAAATTAACAGTCTACGGAAGAATCCAATTTCAATTATTCAGACGGAAGCGATAAAAACGATTAATTAATTGTTACAGATTAATAGCAATTTATTCGATTAACACATCGGTTTTCAGATGAAAAATTATATTGAGCTAACAATCTTGTTTAAGAGATATCCTCTAGAAGAATTCAATTATTTGAACGACGCGTAAAGGATAAACGTAGCTAGATCATACGATTCTTAGTAGATTAATAGTAATTTACTACGTTGTTACAGATCAGTAGTAATTTACTCGCTTCGAACACAATGATTTTCCCTTTCTGATACACCATGTATTTATGATTATTCAGGAGTCTAATTCGAATGGAATCATTTCGAGTGAAAATGAAAAATCAATGAAATTTAGGATAGTTTCACTTTACACTAAATTACACTGTATTGTCACGAGATGCTGAGGAGACGGTGATGGCAGGTTCTTTAAATTGTTCCGCTCGCAATCGACGCGTGATTCGATGCAAAAAGACGAAGGAAAAATTCTCAATGAAGAAATTGTGAAATTTCAAACGATCTCGGCGAGTGTGCAAACGAGTATAAATATTCAAACGAATGGAGAAGTGCCACAAGTGATCGTTCCAGCCCGCTGGTAACAGCTATAGCTGCATCTCATCGCGGCACGAGCTTACTCGCAGAGAGTTAATTCGGTCTTTTCTCTCTCTACCTTCGAGCCGCGTATTTCGATTCTTCGTTTTTCCCTTCGCACTTCTCCGTTTCGCGTGAACGTTCTTTCGCTTTCGCACGCAATTGCCATCTTCTCTTCGGTTTCCTTGTTTCCCCTCTTTTGTTCTTCTCTTGTTTCTCTACTTTATCATCGTTCAGTTGCGAGAAAAATAGTGGACTTTGGTGAGAAACTGGGGAAAAATGAAGAAACAATAAGTTTGAATGTATGGATATACGCTCGAAAGTCTTAGGTCACCTTTTATCTTGAATATTCAATATTTATCGTAGATGATAAAATTTTGACGTGACACATCAATGTATCTTATAATACAGTTTATTTATACAAATATATTCCATCTTTCTAGTACAAATATAGTACCTGCCCTATGACTTTTGGGTTATACCGATATAACTTACGCGATCGCATTTCTACAATTCATTAATAGTTTACTGATTAAATTCGTTTCTGCCAACTAGTGCTCCACTTTTATTTATGTTTTGTATCTTTAAATTTCTACGTTCTCGTTGACACGTGAAAATCCACCCGCTCAATCCATTTGATACAAATACGTTTGACAAGTCGGCAAGATTGGCAAGAATTCGAAGCATGTAAAATGTATGATGAAAAGAAAAAAAATGAAAGAGGAATGATCATTGAAGCACGATCTCGTCCGAACAACGAAACGTTGACGTTCGATGCATATCTGACATATCAGTCACGATTCCTTTTATCGTTAAATTCCGTCCAACACGTCGGTTTGCTCGATCGATATTTAAAGCGACTTCGACGCAATTAGTTTTGCTCGATCAAGAATAGTTTGCTCGTCCGTCATCCCGCGAAGGAATGACAGATTGTACTATTCCTGTAGGGAACTAAACAGAAAGGACAAAACTTCGCGTTCGTGATTTGCGTATCGCGATTCGACGCAAATAGTTGTAGTTCCTCTCGTAGTATTGTCCCGTTTCGAGTCGGCGATCCGAGAACTGCATATCGCGGCCATCGTAAATGATGATGATGGCAACTAACGATAAACGTCGCAAAGACAAGGAAACGTGAAAAACTGGATGACTGGATTAGTGCATGCAATTGTCGTATCTCTGCAATGAGGCTGAATGTGTATGCCTGGCTTCAGTTAGTCAATCAATCCTCGATGATGACGTTTAATAATTCTGGCGTTACGTACGACGCGATGCATGCGCGACACGAACGTTGCATTCAAGTGCAAATGAGAAGGTGTGGGTACAATAAAGCGCCCTTTCGTAACGTTCATTATTATTTATTATTCAACGATGTTAAGGTGTTAATCAGTTAATAAATCGTAAATCCAGGTCATCGTACTGTACTCACCGCAGCTCGTTCAAAATCGGAAGCAGCTTCAAGCCTGCAAAACCGAAACAAATTACCCACAATTGTAGCCTATTGTTGAAACGAGAAACAACAATGCCCGCGGCGTGAAAGTGTTTTTGGAAAATTTTCATATCCGCTTACTGACCAATGAACTCGTTACGAAGCCTTATGCGATCCTTCAGTACCGGGGTGGAAATGACTAAACAGTTTATGAATGCCAATAGCGCGGTCCTATAGTCTTCGGTAGCCGCGTTCTGCAACTCCTCCACCACGATTCGTAATCGGTATCGTTCGTTCTTCCTTTTCTAAAACGAGTCGTTGATAGTTATCTCTCCGTTGTCGGGAACGGTGAAAACGTAAATATAAAAGGATCGAAGATGTGAAACGAATATTTGGTTTCGAAGTATTCGCTTCTCTTGCAAAAATCGAAAATCGAATTGGCTCGCAATAAGAAAGCGATTTCATAGAGAGAAGCATCTAATAGCATGTAATAGCATAACGCAGCGTAATGCTGTAATGGCGAACGAAGCTCCGAAGCAATGACACGTTATATATCTATTGTCCTTTTGTTTGCCGGAGGCAGACCTTGAACTGTGATTTTTACGCAACTTAGCACGCGCGTTTGTGTTTGCTCTTCGTGCCTGTGTCAAACGGATATACAGCAACCTTGCATTTAAACGCTATCTAATATCTCCACGAGAAAAATTGCGTTCCTTTGAGGTAATATGTATATTCGTTACTCTCTGTGAACGAACGAACGGACGATTTTGAACAGACGAATGAACGATCCTCATTTGAATTTATTATTCAAGTTCGATCACCTGATACTCGTGAAGAGTATCGATCGCTCTCTGTCTTCCATCCTGGCTGTAAACAGACAGTGCCGAAAGCAATTCTACCACTTGCTTCTTGACCGAGGGACACGCGGTGTCCAAGGCTGAAATTCAACGAGATACGCGATTAATAGGATGCAATCGGAGCTGGTTATCCGACATTCGAGCTATCGAGAACGTTGAATAATTTTACCCGTGGCGAGCTTGACGCAGTAATCGGGATTATCCACGATGTAGTCGAGACCAACGTGGGAATCCATATTGACTGCATTTGGAGGATGCTTTGCTCCAAATCTGAAAGAAACGATTAAGTTTTAAGTTTCCATCATTTTACGTTCTAATTTGATATACGAGTGTATACCAAAAATATATAATTATATTTAATAAATTACACGCACGCACGTGTGTACTCACATACATACATGCGTTCCATTTGTATTGCGTGTAAGGATAAGTGTTGCTCTGGCCCATTGATAAATTGAAATTAAAGTAGCGTATAAAAAAGAACGTTTCGCGTTTCGCAACTTCTTTTTTTGCCGTAATTTATAAATAATTCACTACGAATCGCGCTTAACATACATGTATATGCGGACTTACAAATCCAAGATAATAACAAAACGTTGAATTTAAATATTACCGATCATCCTTAGAAAAACATTTCGCGATTCTATGACTCAACGGAAACGTTACAATTTCTGCTAACGAAATAAAACAAAGCCAAATTAGAACAAGGTCTAGATCGAGAGTCAACGTGTCACACTTTTTTCCATGCTTGTCTTATATATATATAT